AGTCGTGGTATTGAAGGTGGGAGAGAGCGCTGTACATTCACTCCCCCCACCTACAATCCCTGCCAGTACGAGACTTGAACCCACAACCTTTGGGTTACGAGTCCGACTCTCTAACCATTAGGCCACGACTTCCCCTGACTTCCCCCTGTGTTCACCAACCCCATCTTGAGGGTTTGCTGCTAAAAGCTAATTTTTGAGTTACATCTGACCATAGAAGCCAGTCCCGTTTGAAGTTTCAGTCATGTCTGACAACTGAATATGCTGGAGATTGTATTTTCTTCTCTTGATTTTATTCTTGAAGCCCTCCTAAACAACATGTGGTGATGTAGGTGCTGTTTGATAATTAAAAAAAAAAAGGTTTTCTGACCCTGAACTCAACCTTTTTCTGCAATTCTCCAGCTGTGATCCTTGAAGAGTCTTTGGCCACTAAAACTCTCCTTCTCACCAGGACGATATAGACACATGTCCTCTTCCAGGCAGATTAATAACATTTTCTGTTGATTGGAACTTCTTAATTATTGCCCTGATGGTGGAAATGGGAATTTTCACTGCTCTAGCTTCTTTTCTTATAGCCACTTTCTAATTTGTGAAGCTCAATTATCTTTTGCTGCAGATCAGAAATATATTCTTTGGTTTTTCTCATTGTGATGGGTGATTAATTTGGAATTTGGCCTTTGTTTTCCCTCCTATTTATATTTCTGTGAAACAGCATTCCATGGCTGGATAATTTCATGTTCATAATCACCCTGGTGTGCTCAAAATTGTGAATATGAATGGGAATATATTTCAGATATATTTTACTCATAAGAATTTCTAGCGGTACCAGTAATTGTGTCCAATGTGTATTTGAGAAAAAAACATTAATTTCATAATGATATTTCCCCCCAATTCTTATTCTCCAATGAAAGGTTAGATTTTTGTGATCTTTAAAAATAAAAGATCAAAAGGATTAACAATGCAGATTAATTTTCACAGTCTTCTTTGATCATATTTACCAAGGGTACCAACAATTCTGACCACGCGTGTAAGAATTTCAGTCATAAGTATAAAGACAGAGCTTTAATACAGCATTAAAGTTAGATAGTATAAAAATATTAAAGGGGTCATATGATGCGATTTCAATTTTTCCTTTCTCTTTGGAGTGTTACAAGCTCTTGGAGCATAAAGAAGATCTGTAAAGTTGCAAAGACTAAAGTCTTAAATCCAAAGAGATATTCTTTATAAAAGTTAAGAGCTCATTCTAACACGCCCCCACATGTCTACGTCACGATGTGGGAAGATTTGCATAACGCCGCCGAAATGTTCACGCAAAGAAAGAAGGCGTAACTTTGATTTTCGCTGTAGTTTTGTTGTTGCCGCCATGTCGTGAAGACGCTGTGTGTTTCGTTGTGAAAGCAAAACTACTTTGTTTGGCCTTCCAAATGTTTCCTGATCCTGGGAGAGTAGACTACAATGTTCTGTTCTGACAGACTGTAAGTACAGTCTGTGAATCAGAACAGCCGGCATTGTACTGTAGGTTTTCATATTTAAAGGATTTGCCACTGATGATTCAAACGCGAGTTTTGAGCAGTGTAGAGTAGCGCTTGTTTGTCATTTCGCCGATCACAAATGCAGACATGGTTTTATGTTTACGCAGCGCGATACGCAACGCAA